GTATCACCTTCAATGCGTAGCTACCCAGTTTCCGAAAAAAACTGAACATGTCTTCGCTTCCGAGACTTGGTTGCATGTTCCACTTTCCCTTTCACGGTGATCGAAACTGTAGCAGCTGGAATGAATGTGCACACGGTTTATAGATGATAAATTGATTGATTGAATGGATTGTAGAAAGACAGCGCCGGCAGTCCCCACAGTTCTGATAATGTTCAGCGTTACAACTTGATTGGCTTTTCCGGGAGGGTGGGCACTACTGGCGATGATGACTGAGGGCTCTCACTGTTCGATCCTTGATATCCATGAGTCGAATCGTAGGATAGGTAACACGGGTGTATATCAAGTGTTTTTCAAGAAAAAGATACCCTCAAAGGACGAGCCAAGGCAGTCCAACCATAAGCATGGTTAGCTAGGGGACTGAGCTCGAAATAGCTCATTTGTTCAGTCGTGAATTGACTGACCGGAAGGTCCTGCATTTTAACTACCCCTGTCTAGGCTTGGGTAGCTTGCCAGTATCTCAGCCTTCGTGCGTCTTTCGGGTCGCATGGAAGCTAAGCGCCGAAGGGGTATACAGCTGGAGAATTTGATGTTTTTGCTGGGGGACTTCCTACTCACCATACTCTCTTCACTTAGCCTCTACGTGGAAACCATGTGCTGAAGAGACTCACCCCAAGGGCGGTCGTACATTATCCCGCCCACATAGCTTGGCCAGTGGATTTCATCCTTTGGGTAGCTGCCAGGCAGAGGACCCTGAAAAGAATTCGGCTGATCAGGGGAGGGGCTGCCTCCACACTACGTACCAGCAAAAGAGTGTCTACTTGCTCCCCGTCTGTCGTTTTTAATAGCTGTGGATACATTTTATGAATGCACACGTTCGCTCCGCGTGTCCACACTCCCTCTGTTTGCTCTTGTCCCCAGCGAAAAACACATAGGTGTGAATGAACCATGTGTCAGTGGAGTGATTGCACAAAAAGTGGAGTAACAGATTATTCCCACTGGCAGATCAGGAAGAATCACTTGATTGAATGCGGCAGTTCTTTCCGGTATCCTGCCGTCAGGTTGTCACAACTCAGCAAATGAGCGTTCAAACAACCAAAAGATCACACTAGATGTGACAAGCGTGCGAGATATGTGACTAAAAGATTCAGGTTGTCTGGGAAATCCGTGGAATCGACGCATCTTGTCACAGGAGCCATTCATATTGGATGGAATAAGTAGGGTCAGGTCACTAGAATTGATCACCTGAACAATCAGAGCAGAGCGACCTGACTGAGCAAGATTAGGGAATCCAACTTTTGCGAACGCAAAATTCAGGCCTGTGAATTCCGAAGATCATGGCTTCTGTAATTCTGCTGCTTTGTGGCAACTCTACAATTTCCCCGTGGATTACCCCGAATGGATGAGTTTTATGATCTGTTTCACAGAGTTTACCGGAACTTGTTTTGTCAACTGGGTCGGCATATGTCCAGATTGGTTGTCTGGTCCTTCACTGATAGATACATACTGGTGATGTGACAAGGTAGTTAAGTTTCCAGCCGTTAACGTAGCACGGCTGGCAAAGGTAAGTTCCAGATGGCCTGCGTTTAAGGCGTGTCTGACCTTATCGACTGAGTCATCTTTGAAAGACGGCATGGCTTTCTTTTTATCCCATGAGTGAGCTTTTCGAATGGCTCCCAGACATGCCATCCCTTCTGTTAACCTATCTCTTTGTACTTATTCCAGCGGTCGGTTGGACAAATTTCCAGCTTTGACCATACCTTGAGACGACTAAAAGATTCTGTTGACCTTTTACGCACCGAATACGGTTTTCCTGCTTCCACTAATTTCCCATTTGTATCATCCTGCATGCAGGGAATTCCTGGCGGGATTTCGGCTCCCGGGCGAGGCACAGAAAATCGACCGTTTGATGGAAAAGTTTGCTGCACGTTATTGTGCCTGCAATCCGAACAATGGACTATTTGCCTCTGCCGACACCGCCTATGTTCTGGCCTTCTCCATCATTATGCTCACAACGGATCTGCACAGTGTGCAAATCAAACAGCATCACCGCATGACCAAGGTAGGTATCTTCTTTAATCGTCTTCAATCGTCCGCATTCTCATATCTACGTTTAGTGGACGCCAGTTCCGTTGAAGTGGTCGATAAGTGAGTATGTAGCTACGCTTACTGATGCGACTACCGTTGACCGTGACCTCACCTGATTATCTGGGTGAGCAACTACCTATCCGTAGGTACTCTTGAAAGATGGGTTACTGTGTGCAGTTGTGTATTCACAGCCATCTACGCTTTGTTGGACTCGAAACTTTACCGACTCTTTACCTGACATTCAGTTTGAATGTTGATATCCACAAGTCAGGCCAGAAAGTGGAAAATCCCACAAACTGTTTGGGTCTTCGGTGTGATACGCTGAGCCGGTAGATACGGTGACAGAATCTGCGTCCGAGTGTTACTCATGCTGGTGATCAGCCGAATAGCAGACAACCCGAAGCTCGCTGGTTGGATCCGCGCTGGAGATTCCCTAGCTGCTGATTCGCAGGGAAAATACATCCCGTGGTCTAAGGTCATTTTGTTTGGAGTTGTTTGTGAACCTTTTGGCGAGATGTCCCAAGTTGTTAGAGCGCGAATTTACTGACNCACACGGTTTATAGATGATAAATTGATTGATTGAATGGACTGTGGAAAGACAGCGCCGGCAGTCCCCACAGTTCTGATAATGTTCAGCGTTACAATTTGATTGGCTTTTCCGGGAGGGTGGGCACTCCTGGCGATGATGACTGAGGGCTCTCACTGTTCGATCCTTGATATCCATGAGTCGAATCGTAGGATAGGTAACACGGGTGTATATCAAGTGTTTTTCAAGAAAAAGATACCCTAAAAGGACGAGCCAAGGCAGTCCAACCATAAGCATGGTTAGCTGGGGGACTGAGCTCGAAATAACTCATTTGTTCAGTCATGAATTGACTGACCGGAAGGTCCTGCATTTCAACTACCCCTGTCTAGGCTTGGGTAGCTTGCCAGTATCTCAGCCTTCGTGCGTCTTTCGGGTCGCATGGAAGCTAAGCGCCGAAGGGGTATACAGCTGGAGAATTTGATGTTTTTGCTGGGGGAGTTCCTACTCACCATACTCTCTTCACTTAGCCTCTACGTGGAAACCATGTGCTGAAGAGACTCACCCCAAGGGCGGTCGTACATTATCCCGCCCACATAGCTTGG